CAAAAGTTTATGTGAGTAATACAGATGGATAAAAAATCTCTTTGCTCTACCAACCACTTTCTTCTTTGATCTTTTCGTGAACAAAAAGTTTTTACAGTTTTGATCGGCTGATTTTCTGGTCAAGAAAAAATCAATTTACAGTAATAGTTGCAGTACTTTTACGTTAAAGCGAATAATGTTGTTGATTCAACAGTAATCATTTCTTTGCTTGATTTTGGTCTTTTTTTCTTCATATGTGCTTTTTTAAGTACACGTATGGCTATACTTTCGTATGTCTGATTGTTTGAGTAAAAGCTTCCAATTATTTATAAATTTATGTAAATTAATCTATCATTTGTAAAGTAAATTACAAGTACTTGGCGAAAATGCGATTGTATTAGATGTAAGTAATTGCGTGCGTTTCAAAGTCTACTTCTTATTAATAATGATTACATCAGATAGTATTTTCAGATAAGCTATGTACGAAGTTAATAAGAGACTTGGCATCTTCGGACATCTTCCTGCGTTTTTTTGGAGAGCAATCCTCAAATGCACCGAATTCTCCAGAGATACATTACAGAAACTGCGCAGGTTACATTGAGAGCTTTCAATGCAATTTATCGGATTTCACATGTTTTAAGCTCCAGCTTATGCTTATTAACAATATTTTTGTTTTTTACGTAGATTTATCTGTATAAGTTTTTAATTAGTTTGTAGTCTTTTCATTTTTTATTTATATTTTTATTTTTGAAAGTTGTATTTTTATATTTCTATTTATGTCGTTGTACAATTCATCTATATTCTTGGCTAGTATATTCTTATTCTTCTATTTTTTATTGTTTCCTCTCTATTCTACTTTTTTATTTGGCATTATGTCTCGGAAGAAGCTTCTTACTGATGTGATTGTTATTAGTGCTTTCAGATATTTGAAATCAGAAAGTGAGGGAGGTGGTGGAGCAGATTTTTTGTGTATGGTTTCATATATCTTTTTGACAATAGAATAGCGTTAGAATATTAAAATATTAGGATTCAAATTATTTCATATATGTAAGTGTACTAAGAGGAGTTGGGCAGAGTGAACAACGCAAAAAGAATAGTTGAGTACGATTTACTTTCTTCTAGGTTTTTTGCATCATCCCTACCTCTCCTTGTAGTCAGATAGTTTGGACTGTCCGTTATAAAAGATTGTTTGACCGATCACTTGCAAGCTCACATTTTAAAAGGAATAAATAATTTTTTTCGCTTTATGTAATGGCACTTTGTGTAACAAAATGGCCTTGTCCTTCGGTCAGGTATTTAGGCTACAAACAAACTGCGATGACCTTCGTGAATGCTGCAAGGAAGAGGGACGATGAGGATGGCGTAAAAAGGTGCAGGGTTGTCTTCGCACTTTTTTGTATAATACCTATTTATTTTTCCTCTGTACTTCAATCCTCCGCAAAAAAAATCACTTTAGCTATATAAAAAATAATATTGGATAGCAATAAAAAGAATATATAATAATAATTAAAAAAACTTGAATAATATATATAAGTAACTATAATAAATAATAATATTAGAGAATAATGATGAAAAATAATAATAAATGATCATGATAATAAATTCATGTTTTATTACCAATTTTATTATTATTTAATAATGAAATTCATTACTGTTTACAACTGTGTCTATTTATTTTATTACCAATTTTATTATTATTTAATATTACCAATTT